GTCAAGTCCAGAGTCAGGATATGGACTAGAACAAGTATCTGTATTGAGGAGGTAGGTGGAGAGTATAGAAGGAGCAGAGACCTAGAATACAAATGCCCAAGAGGGGGAAGATGGAGACAGAAGCCTCCAGCAGAAAGGGAAACTTGCTCCCCAGAGGTGAAGGTGTGGGGAGAGGATGAAGTCATTTCTCCCCTTCTCCTGGGGCTCTGCACCTCCTCAACCCACCCCTTCCACTTGCCCCCTGCCTCATAGCCCAACACCAGCCTGCTTCCTCCAGGAAGTCCTCCCTGCACACTGGAGCCTACACCCAGCCTCTCACCACTGTATGCCAGCACACAGAAAGCTTATGGCTCTGTCTAGTTAGATAGTGTTGATTGTCAATAAATATGTGACCCTTTTTATTTCAGTACTTTTTTTTTTTATTTATATTTGACTCTTTTAAGGAAGCCAAGATTCACACAGCAACCAGAGTGAAATAAAACAGGATGTGTCCAGGGAAAGTGACAAACAGAGATTTAGAAATGCAAAGAATGAGGAACAAGTTCTCGTAAAGATGAAAGTGAATCAGAGTTGGACAATCCAGACACGTGGGAAAAGAGAAGTGGAAAGAGAGACAGAGCCCAATTATGGTGACCCAGAGGTGCACTGCAGGCCTGTACAACCTCTTTCTGACTGATACCTACTAGCCTCAGGCCTGTACAGCCTCATTCTGACTGATCCCCACTAGCCACTATGGTGATATCTGCCCCAGAAAGCACACTCACCACCCTCCCCTGCCAGTCAAACCTCCTTATTGGGCTCCACTTGCTCCCTCTGCCTCTTTCTCCCAAGAGAACAGGCCTGGAAGGTTTAGGGTACCCAGGGAAGGGGCTACTGCCCTCTCTCCTGCTCCTGGGAGATATGGGTACGTGAGACAAAGTGATGACCATAGTGGTTTAAGAATGGGGACAGAGTGACAGTGACGGCACACAAGTGATTAACATGGGTGGGGTGTGATATGGGCTGTGGGAGGCAGAGTGGTCCAGAGAGCTGAGACTGGGGGCTGTCAAGCTTGGGATGGTTTCTACCTAATGGTAAAACCAGTTCCCCCTCCTTCCCGCCATGCTTGGGGGACACCTATGTCCACTGTCATGGTCTGTTCTGGGACTGTCCAGGTCGCTCTCTGGCTCTGCCCCAGCCAAGGGTGGCCCCTCAGTGAGCGTAGACTGCACGATGCAGAAAATCTGTCACTTCGTCCTCATAACACCACCTAGGGGATGGGGTACCTGCCCTACCACTCTATAAATTCCAGCTCCACCTCCACCTACAATTAAGAAAGTGACACTCCCTGAGGTGAAACTTTGCAAACACACATGAGCAGCACAGTGGCAGGCCCCGTGCCCAGGGACCACCGTTCTCCTGTTTAGAGGACGTCCCTGTGCCTCCACGGCATATCATGTGGCCTGCCTGGGTATCAGGACCTGGCAACTTGACAGGGTCGAGTGGCTCTTACAGCCCTCCACTGGAAGTCTGGGAACGTGAGGTGGCAGGGGCAGGACCAGGCAGAAAGGCCAAGGGGCTGGGAAGAAGGGCAGGGGAGTCGGTGTGAGGAGGGAGTCAGAGGCAGTGTGAGGAGGGCTGGGCGGGGGAGGCAGACCCGTAGGAGTGCCCCCAGGACTGAAGCTTCAGCGGAAATGGCTGAGCCCCAGAGTCAGGCCTGAGCTCACCTCTCAGAGAGGGCCTGAAAGTCCAGCCCAAACATGGGCTATTTTTGGTGCTGTGTTGCTTGGAGCATGACCAGGCCCAAAATAGTGCTGTGAGTTAGCAGGACCCTGTCCTTCCCCCACCCCCAGTTCTCCCAGTGAAATCACCGAGAATCTGGAGGCTCCAACATTCCGAGGAACATGTGTAACTGATAGGAAGCACTTGGAGGCTTGGAGCAGAGTCTTTGGCTGTAAAAGGGATTCCGGGAGAGCAGAAGGAAAGGGACTGAGTCAGAGGCAGCAGAAAGGGGAGAGAGGGAGGTGGGGTAAGATCTCACAGGTGGAGACCAGAGGAGAGTGGTGGGTGGGAGCAGGAGATAAACAGCAGAAGGTCGCAGAGAAGAGGCCAAGAAGAGGGAGCTGCAAAAAAGACAAAGTGGAAGGAGGGGCAGCCGGTAATGGGGGAGCGAAGACGAAGGTCGAGGCAGTGGGGGCAGTGAAGGGCCGAGAGCCTGTGGTGCGGACCAGTGCTCAGCTCCTGGGCTACTGGGGCCTGCGGTGGGGTGCGGCACAGTCCCTCCGGTGGTGAGTCTCCCTCCACCTGCTGCAGGGCGGGTGAAAACAGCCTTCTCAGTTGCTCGAACCAAAATTTCCCCCAGAAATCCAGAGCCCTGTAACACCCTCATATCTCTGACCCTTCAGGAGCCAGAGGTCCAGCTGTTTCAACAGCATGGACTTTTCCTTTGTGTCCTTTTGACCCCTTACAAAAGAGTTAGGCTTGACAGAGATGACTGTGCCAAGGGTATTAGTTTGGGGTTTTGGGAGAGGGGAGACGATGACTGTCTCTTGAATCAGACTAGATCCTGATAAGGGCGTCGCAGTCGGGGGCTGCTGGGGGTTGGCATGTGACCATGAGGCATTTCACACAGAGGAGCCGGCCCAGGTTGTTCGGCAAGCAGCTCCAGCTATCAGGAAGTCAAAGGAAACCTCAGAAGCCATTGTGGCGCTCCACGAGGCTTTGCCTCGGTGCTGCGAGTCCCACACGTTTAGGAAAAGCTGCCTGAGTAGCCCTCTCTGTTCCCCATGTAATGCACAGGCCCCTTGTCCCAGTAGGCACAGAGCTGCTCCCATTTCTTTCTTTTTTGTTTTTTTTTTTAAGGTTTATTTATTTGTGCATACAGAACTGGGGTACAGGCCAGAGTGCAGGGGCGGTGATAGGCTTCACCAGAGACAGAGTGGGGAGCAGAACAGACGGATCGACGAAGCACACAGCTGAGGGGAGCAGCGGGCGGGTCAGGAGAGGTCTGCTGGCCCCGTGGGTCACCTCTGGGCAGGATCAAACTCATGCCGCAGTGGCTTTAGCTTCTCAGTGCTGTTCTCTAACCGCTGCGCTACCAGGGAGGGCCCAGGCTGCTCCCATTTCTGTGGCCGGGAATGGAGTATCTTTTCTGGAATGACATCAGGATCATCTATCAGGTCCAGGAGTGAGGACAACTAGTCTCTACCATGTAGGGCCCAAACTGTCCATGGAGATCAGCAGGGGCTTTTATGACTGAGGCCTGGCAACTGGAGAACTGCAGTTTCTGGAACAGCAAGGAGGAGAGCATGAGGTTCAGCATCAGAGGCTGGAGGAGCTGGGAAGAGTCCTGACCCACTGTGCAGCCACTTGAGGCCTGGAACTTCCAAGTCAAACTCCCAGATGCCTGATCCTCTGACCCCCGGGGGTAGAGAACAAGGCACTCTGGGCATCTAGGCGATGAACTGGGGGCTGGACTTCTCTGTCCTTCTCTGTCCTTCCCACCCCAGAGAAGTTAGGAGGACCTGCCCTCCTCGCACCTAAAGGTGCTCTCTGGGACGCAGCCCAGGTGGAGAAGCGGCAAAGGTCCCGCACAGCAGCAGTCCCCTGGGACGGGGCTGGTCAGGCAGGGATCCTGACTTTCCCAGCGAGGCTTCCCCTTCTTTCCCTGCCACCCACATGCCCCCACCTGACTCCAGGGCCAACAGAGAAAACAAAGACGAGGCAGAGAGAAGACGAGGGCTGTCCAGCACCGGTTGCCCTTGGAATCTGTTTACTGAGAAAATCCAAAACAAATATCCGACACTACCACCCACTTCAACTTCCTATGATTCTGCTACCGGCTGTTGCTATGGATACACCCAGCTAAACCTGCCACCTACAGAGAGCAGGACAGAGGGTGGGCCCCCAGGTCCCCAAGCACCATCCCTACCATCCCTCAAGCCACCCTTCTGTCCACAGCATCCAGGCCACACAGCCGGGAAGCCTGATGCACCGAGCCCTCAGCTGCACTGGTCTGGCCCTACACATTCACCTTACTGAGCGTCTCTACAGGATTTCTGGTCACTCTTCCACTCCCCACTCCAGTGCCCTCGAAGTGCCCCCACCCAAACCCTCCATGAATTGACTCTTTCACTTCTGCGCTACTTCCCCTGCTCCAGCCCCGCCTGGCTCTGGAGGAAAGGGATAAGGCATAATTCTCCCTGTCATGGCAGGCAGCTCCAAGAAAGGAAACCCAGAGGTCAGGCTGCTTGCTTTTCCCCGGCAACCCTTGGTTCTTCTCAGCCTCCCAGCACACCTCAGACACGCACCAGACAGGGTTGTTGACACAGAGAGAGCCCTTGGGGGCACTGGCAGCGTCTGGGCCCATGGGGGACTCAGCCATGCATCATCCCAGGGCAGGTGCCTGGCAGGGAAGAGGCAAGACAGGAGCGCTCTGCAGGGCTCATGTCCTAGACAGCCAGACCCAGACGCTCACTTGGCACACTGTGCCCTCTGGCTGGGGGGTGAGGCCGCGAGGAGGGAGTGTGTTCCTTTCAGGTTGACAGTCGCCTGGATGGCAGCACCGGCGCAGGTCAAGGGGGGCACAGCCACAGGACAGGACCGTTAGCTTCTTTGAGAGCAGACAGTGACCCGTTTCTCCACAGGAAATGCAGACGTGTAAGCTGTTTCTCCCCCGGGCTGAGCACTGCCAAGAAACACTGGGCAGTTTGGACTATGTGCTCTGCCAAGGGTCAAGTTGGCATGACATCCAAGGAGAGACTGGCCAGATCAGGGTTTGTTCAGTTCTCCTGAGCCCCACACGCGTACACAGGCAGCAACACGCACACACGTGCACACACACACGCCACAGCCGTCCCACGGGGAGGCGCTGAGGGGCCTGCTCTTCAGACAGATAGCCAGCGCCAGAAAGTGGGTGGGGCCGGACCATGAGTTCATCTACTTCCTGCCACATCTGGTATAAAGGGAGGTGACTGCCTCATAGGGGCACAGCTGCTTCTGGCTGCAGTCAAGAGCACTGTCAAGAGGGCCACACCCCTCCCCAGGGCCTCGGGATCACCAGCAGCAGCGCCAGCAACAGCGGACAAACTGCCAATCACAAGGCACCTTGAGAAGTTCAGGTAAGGAAAACGCAAATTCTCTCCATCTCTTACTTCAGGTTGAGGCGGCGACTAACCTCCCACCCGAACTGCCTCCAGCGAGACCTCCATTTTCCCTCTGCCCCCCGACCCCACTGCACCCTGAGTCTACCGTACTGTGGCAGCAGTGGCTACGGGCAGAGGGCAGAGGCCAGCCCCGACAGCCCACTGCCCAGAAGCACGGCCCCTGTGCCGCCCTCTCCACGGAGATGCTCTCCGTTCCCATCTAAGGAAAGGGAGTTTTCACACCTGCTGACTCTGGTTGTGAAAGCATCATAAGGGAATCAAAAAGCCTCAGACATGTCAGAGATGTTACAATCTAGCTCTGCAACGTCCTGGAAAGTCAGGAAGGTGGAGAACTTGCCGCCCTGCTCCCAGGTTTCCCCCAGGGAGGCTAAGTCTGAGGGGAGCGCTCCGACCCCCAACCGGTGTGGCTTCTCACTGAGTCTCCCCTTGTGTTCACTCACTCTAACCTTCCAGTTAGATACTGGGGTCTGGCCCCTGGTCAAATGCCATCCCCTGCCCCCTGCCAGTCTTCTGGGACTATTCCCTCATGGAGCCTTTTCCACTCCCAGGATGCAGGTGTCTCCGGTCTTTGCCTGCCTAGCCCTGGGCCTGGCCCTCATCTTTGGCGAGGGGTCCGCCTCCCTCCACCGCCAGTCTCAGGCAGCTCACCTGGCCACAGACTTTGGCCTGAAGGTGTTCCGGCAGGTGGCCCAGGCCTCCGAGGACCGCAACGTGGCGTTCTCCCCCTATGGGGTGGCGTCAGTGATGGCCATGCTGCAGCTGACAACAGCTGGAGAAACCCAGCGGCAGATCCAGGCGGCGATGGGATTCAAGACCAATGGTGAGAGGAGGCGAGCGGGAGGGGCCCTTCTGGACCAGGGGTGGGCCAGCCCAAAGCAGAGGAAAGACCAGACCAGGCGCTGCCCTGTGCAGGAAGGACCCTCACCTTCCCACCGCACACGTCGGCCCTGTGATCCTTGCTCGGCCCCCAGGTACACAGGCAGGGGCTGTAAATAGTCTCGTCTTACCACTTACGGGTTGGTGGCCATCACCCTGCTGAACCTCAGTTTCCTCATCTACAAAATAGGTACAATAAAAGGATCTACCACAGGAAGTTGCCATTAGGCTGAGATTGAATTGGGCGTGCATATAAGATGTTTAGCATTCCTATTACTACTGTAAGACAAAAGCTAAACAGAGAAAACTGTTCTAACCCAAAGACAGGGATAGGACCTGAAATCTCCTTCCAGAGACCCCGGGAGAGCAGCAACTAGGCATGGGGGCAAGGCTGGGCCTTTCATGGGGGAACGTTGGCCCTGAGGGGAGCCCTCTGCCCAAAAGGGGCTCACCGAGTCTTTCCTCCTTTCCTTGGCACAGAGAAGGGCATGGCGTCTGCCCTCCGTCAGCTGTACAAGGAACTCTTGGGGCCGTGGAACAAGGATGAGATCAGCACTGCCAATGCCATCTTTGTCCAGCGGGATCTGGAGCTAGTCCCGGGCTTCATGTCCCGCTTCTTCAGGCTGTTCCACACCACAGTCAAGCAGGTGGACTTTTCAGAGGTGGAGAGAGCCAGGTTCATCGTCAATGACTGGGTGAAGAAACACACAAAAGGTGAGCGGCAGGGAAAGGAGGCTGGTTCCCAGGGCTTTGGAAACTGGCCCAGGTATCTCGGCTGCTAGCTCCCAGCATGCGTTTGTCTGCAGATAGAAGTCCAGGGCTTTGAGAGCCAAAGTGTCATGTGTTTAGTAGCCCTCTCTTGAGCATGCTCTAAAGGCAATCCCTAGAAAGTGTTGAAAGATGTCCTAAGAACTGACATAAACAGGTTTTTTATAACCACATAGCCCTTAGAGACTGCAACTGAGGGAGCAAAGTGAGGGAAGACTTACATTCCCAGGTCTGATGTAAGACAGGACCCGTGGGCCTAGAAGTGGCGTGAACTGGAAGCCTCTCTCTCAAGGCAACTAGATGGTTTCACTTAAACCCCCATCTGCCATCTAATTGGATCATTCTAACAGACACACATCCGTTTGCGGACTGGGAGTTGAAGGGAACCCTCCACACGATTAAAAAAAAAAAAAAAAAAACGAGCTCATTCCCAATCCCCTGGCTTTCTCATAGGCATGATCACTGACTTACTTGGAGAAGGGACTGTGGACCAGCTGACACATCTGGTGCTAGTAAATGCCCTCTACTTCAATGGCCAGTGGAAGACACCCTTCCCCAAGAAGGCCACCCACGAACGCCTCTTCTACAAGTCCGATGGCAGCACCATCTCTGTGCCCATGATGGCTCAAACCAGCAAGTTCAACTACAGTAAGTGCAAGAATCCCTTCCCCACATCCCAAGACTTGCGCCTCTTGCCCAAGAGCCCCCCTTTTCTGGGAGGAGGTAGCCTAGAATATACCCCTGCTTTGACAAAGGCTCCCCAAGTAGGAGACCCCAGGGTCATTGGAACAGCGGAGATCCAGAAATTTTTGCAGATCTACTTTTGTCCACCAGACCCCTCTCTCTGATGCTCGGTGTCATCACCTGGGGTCTACAAGCCTCCTCCCTGCAGAGGAGAGGGCTGTGTGGAAGTTGAGACTAAGGAGATGAGGGCTGGGGTGAATGTGTGGCTGAGTGTGGGGGAGTAGTTAGAGAAGGTCAAAATGAGGCAGAGAAATCAGAAGACAAGAGAACTGGCAGAAGAGAAAGGAAACCTGAATAAAAACAGTGACGAGGGAAGTGTAGTGTGTGGGAGGGCTCAAAAACCAGGATGGGCAGCTGGATTCCAGAAAGCATGAAAGGGCCAAGAGGACTCGTTGGAAACCCAGTGCTGGGTTAGACTCAACAAGCACTGCTGGTGTCTTCACAGCTGAGTTCACTACCCCCGATGGCCATTACTACGACATCCTGGAACTGCCCTACCACGGGGACACCATCAGCATGTTCATCGCGGCTCCCTATGAGAAAGAAGTGCCTCTTTCTGCCCTCACCAGCATCCTGGATGCCCAGCTCATCAGCCACTGGAAAGGGAATATGACCAGACTCCCACGCCTCCTGGTTCTGCCCAAGTAAGCCACACTTGCCACTATCCTCATCCCTTCTACCTCCCCTCACCCCCGCCCCCTAAAATACCACCTCTAAAGTGTTTCCCAGACTTGACGTTTGCAGGGCAGGGACACATGTGGGAGGCTGATGGGAAACACACACAAGCCTGGGTTTGATTAAGATTTCCCTCATCATCCCTCCACCCAGTTCTGCTTTTCTAAACTGCGCTCCACAGGGTCTCATCCCACCCTCAGAATGCAAGTGAGATGAGGAGAGAGTCAGAGAAGTGATGGAGATGGAGGGATAAATCAGTCTACACCCTTTTATGGGTGTCCCCCGCTCCCCACGCCAGCCCAAGTCAGTATCCAGACAACGGGAACAAAGGAGCCACTTTCTGCAGACTGAGGAGCCCCACTATAGCGTCTAGCTGGCCTCCAATAAAGCAGGTCTTAAAATCCCTTCTGCAGAAACAAAGAAGGTCAAAAGGCTGAGACTAGGTAATTCTAGAATTGTACAGAAGCCTCCCACCACACCGGCTCCCAATTTCCAGATGCTGTAATGCCTGGTTGGGGAGAACGAAGAGAATTTAGTCAGTTTTCTCTCTCTTTCCTCCTGTTTCAAAAATCAAGGTAATTAGTTGTGCCCTGGTGGGAAGCAGAGAGCACCCCAAAGCCTCACTGCTTGAGTCCTCTTCAAGGTTAGCTCTTAGAAATAACACTTTACAGGCCAGCTTTTCTTTCAAATAGCCTTGTGGGAAAATGTTCCCTTGGCCCCCCAACCAGACTGAATAAAATTATGCTGAAACGACTGCTTTATTTGAGCAAGCAATTAGTCATAGGTTCAAGGAGGAGGGGAGATTGCAGAAGAATGTTCATTAATATTAGAAACCTCCAGTGAGGAGAGAGACCTTGCAAACAAATTTGAAAAAATAACAAAAAACAAAACAAGCCTCTCTCTTCCACCTTCACATCTGCCCCCACCCTCTCAGGCTGCTGGGGGGACACTTGATCTGGGGCTGGGTCAGGTGGTGCTGGCAGCTGGGGGCAGCCTGAATTTGAATTTTCCTCATTCTGTGTACAGATTCTCTCTGAAGAGTGAAATTGACCTCAGGGGCCCCCTGGAGAACTTGGGGATGACTGACATGTTTAATGCAAACCAGGCGGACTTCACAAGTCTGTCAGGTAAGAGATTGTCCTTTCTCTTGTCCTGGAGGACTGGAGGGCTCCTAAGAGGACAGTGGGGCCTTTGCCTGCGAACTTTGCTTCAGCTACTCTCACATTTGCCTGTTTCAGATCAAGAGCAACTCTACTTATCACAGGCGTTGCAGAAAGTCAAGATCAAGGTGAACGAGAGTGGCACAGTGGCCTCCTCCTCCACAGGTGGGTTGGAGTCAGGGCAGTTTCTGGGAGCCTCAGGCCAAGGCTCCCAGGAGGGCCCCCCCCCCCCGTAAAGGCCCCCCTAAGGAAAGCGGTGATGTACTTACAATGGCTAGCCCGCAGGAGGAACCTGCTTATCAGTAAGCCCTGAAAGGGTTTAGATAAATGTGCTTGTAAGCAGAGTTGAGAGATCTCCACCACACTCCCAGAGGAAACTGAGCCTCAGAGGAGTTCCCTAAACTTTCAAGGTTCCTGTTCAGGAGAACCACCACGCCTCATAAAAACCATCATCAGTGCTGCCTCCCGACAGGAGCCTGGTGTCACGGACACTAGTGATCAGCTCAGGCCGTGCTGACGTCCCTCTGTCCTAAGACCCTGTCCCTTCTCTTCCAGCTCTCATAGTCTCAGCCCGAATGGCCCCCGAGGAGATCATCATGGACAGACCCTTCCTGTTTGTGGTGCGGCACAACCCCACAGGTGAGCATGACCCCACAGGCAAGTGCAGGTTCCCAGGAGGGCCTCAGGCAAGGGCCCTAACTCAGTCCCACTTCCTCTGCTGAGGAGAGGTCCTCACAGACAGTGTCGAGAGGTAGCCCCTGAGATCTAGCTCTAGCTCAGTCTCCGATGCCGCTGACTTGACCTCTCCCACCTTCTCACGTCTCCCTTCATCCTACACGGGGCTCAGCAGCTATGTCGTTCTTTCCGGTTCTCATCTCCCATGATTCTCCCATCCTCAGGAACAGTCCTTTTCATGGGCCAAGTGATGGAGCCCTGACAGTGGAAACCAAACAGGCCTCATCTGGGACAGAACTGGAGAAGGATCAGAGAAGCAACTCTGGATAGAGGAATTCTGAATTTTGATGAAACTTTTTGAAGGAAGAAAAGACAATTGCCTTTTTTTTCTTACTGGTAAATCTTTCAAATCTGCCTTCTGGACCTGAGCCTCTCAGGAGAGTGAGTGGGAAAGAAGACCTTGGAGTTAAATCCCGAGGGGTGACTCGGGGTGAGATCTCCAACACCCAGCTCCCTGAGGGCGCCAGCCCAGACCGTAATGCTCACAGAGCCGGGTGCACAGCTGCTCATGCTTGTGGCTCTGCCCACTCGGGCCTCAGACCCGGATCCCACTGAGACCCTGGCAGGAGGGCACGGCGAGGCTTACAGGAGCTTTTGTGTGCTTGGTAGAAATGATTTGTGTTCCAGTCACGTTGCTATCATTCCTGCACTGTCTGCCACTGCTGAGGAGGCTGGCGGCAGGCCAGAGGCCAAAGGAAGAAGCACCCTTTCATTTCAAGGTCCATCCTTCCGGGGTCAGAGGTGCTATGGGTTGGCCGAGCAATTACCCAGTCAGAGACCCACCGTGGCCTGGTCCCAGGAAGTGTGCACCTGTTATTTTGGAGTGTAGGTGACTTGTTTACTCATAGAAGCAGATTTTTGCTTCCCACAAACTTTGTAGGACTAGAGGAAGAAAGGTGAGCTCTTGGCTCCAAGCCTGTGGGGGGGATGGATGCCGAGGGTATGCTTGAATATTTATCTACATCCTTGTCCTTGTGTGTCTGTTAGAGAGAAAGAGGATTATCAAGAAAAATGTATTATTTAAGCCTGCTTATCGAGCTCCTTTGTAGTCTGTGTTATTGCATCACAGGAGTCTGCCCGTGGGACTGTCATACCCTCCTGGGCGACAAGCATGGTGGGGCCCACACTGCCACCTCGTGGCTGCCCGAACCCCCTCATTCTTTCCACTCCTTGCCTTTACACTGGATAGATTAGGACTCGGCCAAGGTTTCCAACTTCAGCCCACTTTAGGGGCCACAAGGAGGTGGTGGGTGAGAAGGACCAGAGCGAGAACAGAGTGATTTCAAAATTTTCCAATATATTTAGGAGCAGGCGTGCAAGGGGCTGCACGACCTAGCAGGACAGAACTTTCCCCAATTACAGGGTGACTCACAGCCGCATTGGTGACTCACTTCAATGTGTCATTTCCGGCTGCTGTATGTGAGCAGTGGACACGTGAGAGAGAATGAAAAAGAGAAAGAAAACTCAGGCTCAACTATCTTAGTTAGATAACCTTCCTGAAACCCAGCTAGTGAGGGGGGAATGGCATGAAGACCAGTTTCCTGAAGCGTCACAGAGTTGTCGAATGAATGTAATCCAACCCAACCCTAACCACCCCACCATGCTCGTCAGTGAAAAGTCCTTGTTCTTGTTTTTTTCTTTTTTTCTGTTTTCATCATGCACTGGACAGTGGCAGTCACATACAGTACTCACAAGGATTCCCAAATGTGGGGTCCAACCTTCTTGAAATTGTGTTACATGGTATGCTTATGCTTTTCACTTTGGATATGTAAACAAGTGATAATGTTATTTTTTAAAAAACAGTAATAAAAAAAATGCCAAAAAAGAGTTCCTGCTTGTACTTTTCACATTGCACATGGTACAAAATATAAATCCTGCCAATTCCTAGGCTTCTCTGGTGAGAGGATCTTTGCGAAACATATACCCATAGGCCAGAAGCCTTGGACAAGGCTGCCATGGACAAGCCCACAGGACGGGCCGCTGGAGTTCTGCAAGGAGGTCCCAGGGTATGATCCTTAAAAAGACAGGCTCCCCCAAACCCTTCAACCACCCGAGAGGGCCTGCTCAGACTCACTGCGCCGGTAGGTACCCACCATGTCCGGGCCATTTCCTACCACCTTCAAATGCCTCCGTCCCAGCACCTTGTCCCACGCCCCACTTCTCCAAATCCAGGCCAAATCCATTTGCTTCACCTCACATCCACATAAATCTAGCCAACATCGCCACTTTCTACTTGGCATTTACCAGTTTTTCTTGTTCCTGGTGTGTGACAGTGCCTGTGTTCATGTGTGCTCTTCAACTCTGAGTGTGCTTGCTACGATCCCTGCCCCCATCTTCGCATCAGGTTTCTTGAAACAAGATTCTTTTGTTATACAAACCCTTCATATCCTCCTTAAAATGTCATCCTTTTATACGCTACCTCCTGTATCTGAATACTCTTTCCAGAAGACATACATTCCCCAGTTAGCTTCTATTCAAACACAATGTTATAAACTAAGAAAAAAAAAAAAAAAAAGAACTATCTGGTGTATCTGATGGAATTGTATGCTTTCCAGTGCCAGAACCCTGAAGATCAGGCAGACAGACCCAGCCCCCTAGATATCCAGATCATGTCTTAGGAACTAATCATAGTCCAGTGTTTCTGAACAAAACACTGAGAGTGAAAAGGTAGTGAGTTCCCCATCACTGGAAGTATTCAAGGTCAGGAAGATCATTTTGAACCTCCTTTTTCTTTGGGTATTTGCCTTGTTCCTATTGGCTTCCTAAGGAGAGTGGAAGACTCCTTCAAGGTTTGACTGGACTTTGGGATCTCTCTTATTATTTCAGCTTCACAGGACTTGAAGAGAAAGCTTGAAGACAGCAAATCCTAAAGAAGAATCCATAAGAAGGTGTCAATCCACTTCTCCAAAGAGGAAATGCAAATGGCCAACAAGCATATGAAAAAATGTTCAACATCACTTGTAATAAGGGAGATGCAAATTAAAACCACAATGAGATACCACCTCACCCCAGTGAG